TTGTTTTTATATTTTTCAATATATTTATTTTGTTTGTACAAAATAAAAAAATAATTTTTAACGATACAATAGTCTTCGTTAGGCTTAACATCAATGAAAATTCAACGCGAAGCGACACACAATGGAGAGAAATTTCAACATGGGATAAATTAATATATTTTTTCATACATGATTCGTTATCCGAACCACCCCAGTCCCCAATTGATTCGGATAAACGACGCTCTACTGTAATAATATATGCACACATTTAAATTTAAGAAAATAATATAAAAAAATTGCATTGTGATAAATAGCATTCATATTTACATAAAATATTCTATGATATTTTATATTATAAATATATAAATGTTTCATAATAGAAAAGTATCTCTTAATAAAAAAAAATATGAATAAATAAAGTAATCATTTCACTTATTCTTCAGATTTGAATACAACCAGCATGGAGTTGTGGTTAATAAATTAATTAAGAACTTATTAATTCTAAGACATGAAATCATCTCTATTCTGAGTTATTAATTAAAATATATTGATATATTGAAAATTTTCATCTGAAGAAAGCTAACATAAATGTTTCACTATAAAGTTTGCCTTATTCATTAATATATTAATATTAATTATTGTTGTTATACCATAATAATAATAAAATTTATATAAAGCAACAATAAAAAAAATGAAATTCAATCCACTCTGAACCAAAATAATTTCACAGATAAAATATTCTAGATGAAAAATTTATTATAATTAATTAATTAGAAGTAAACTTACCAATATTTATGAACTTTTAATCCAACAATAAAAATAACAACTATGAGCAGAACTAACATTCCAAGGATTATGAAGATAAAATGTAAAAAGGGTAATCCAAATAGGAACTTTTCAAATTTCTCATCACTTTGATAACTAACTTTAATTTATATAAAATAATATTCAAATTAATTTTTTAAATATCATGTACATTTAGATCATATAAAAAATTTAAAACTTGGTAATTATTTGCATAATATAAAATAAAATTTTTACCAATAACATGCTGTTTTGCTTCAGAGATAGATGACTGCATCTTCTAATAGTATAAAAAAAAATTTATTGTTTAAAAAGAATTACTTGAATTAAATAAACATAAAAATAAACTCACAGCACTAATTATTCTAATTCGAATATTATACAACACTCCTGGAGATAAACGAACATTTTTATATTTTCCATACATCTTTTGATCTCCTACTACAAAATAGTGATAATCTTCTTTTGGAAGATCCTTAGCATTTAATTCAGCAGTAATGTAATATGGTATTTTAGCAAGTGTGGCACTGTAATAGTCTAATAAGTGTTGTTTATTGATTCCTTCCTTATTTCTACCATCTTCCACAATTATTTGATATTTTCTGGAAATTATAATATTTGGCCATCTATTGGTAACTAATTACATAAATGAAATATTCAAAATGAAAATACTCAAAATTACATAAATAATTCTGAAAATGTGACAGCTAAATATAGATAAATTGATAATTAAACAAGCATTCAAGTTTCTTGGAAGCTAAAATATATGTACAGAAACTATTCCAAACTAAGCACTGTGGTGAAACTTACACTACACTATCCGGAACCTGTAACCTGTGCGTAATGCATATATACTATATATCGCTGTTGACAAACATTTTCAAGCGATCTCTTTGCTCTTCTTCAGGCCGACTGGAATTCCCTGAATGGAGTGTATTCTATTTGTTGGGATCGGGTGTCAATTCTGACAGGGTGGGTCTTTTCTGACATGTACAGTTGCACAATGGGGGAGGTGTACGGCACCGTTACAGGTTCTTGATAGTGTAGTGTAAAATATATGTTTTATTAAATAAAAATTTAATTAAATTTCTTTTTTATTTAATTAAATAAAATAAATTAAATGAAGGATTAAAGCTAACCTTTCATTTAATTAAAAAAAAAGAGATATTTTCTAGCTTTTTGAAAAGTTGAGTGTTTGTTTTACTAATCAATAAATTACAAACTAGTTTTATTTGAATAATAGCCACAGCTACTATTTTAAACTGCATATTTTCTCTGCAGTTACTATTCAAGGATAGTTATTTTCTTTGCACATAACACATTTCATGTCCATTACTAATAAAGTATTTTAAAATATTTATTTATGAAAGTTTAATTTTTAAAACAAATTATACTTGAAATGGCAACTGATATTTTTCTTTATAATGAATGTTAGCTTTTATACATCAGTAAGAAAATAATTAATAAATATACCTATTGTATATTTCACATATTATCAGCCTAGTTCACAAACCTCATATTTCCAAATTTCCATGTTTGCAATTATTGTACCAGCACAATCAAAATGGTAAGATACATCTTCTGTATGGTTACAGTCTTATGTTTTTGGTGCAATTTCTTTTTAGAAAGGTAAAAATTTATTACCACAAATGCATTATTTCTCTCAAAAACCAGTTTTGATGTCTCCTGTAAAGTAGATATTTTGGAAATACAAAGTTTGTGAACTAGGCTAATGATATTTCATATTCTATTAAAGTTTGTTTGTTAAATAAATACAATATCTACCTAATGTAGTTTGCTGTATTTATTAATTTTACATTATTTCTGAAAAGTTTTCAGAAATTCTTAAATTGCAACTGTGGCTACTATTTGAGGATGGTTATTATTCAAATAAAACTGGTAAATATATATTAATCCTAATCTGTTAGAAATTTTAAACTTGATGATAGCAAGATAACTATCATTTTGTTTATAATGTCATTTCCTAATAATGTTTCTTTCCCAGAAATATGAGATTCTAAAACCCCAACTATTTTTATAGATTTGAAAATCCCAGTTATTAAATAAATATTCTAGGAAATCTTGAAATTTTACATTACACTTTGTTATTATAGCTATTAATCTTTGGTCATGTTTGGTATTATTATTCTTTTATGAGTAGGATTGGATTTTCTTTCATAGCAATGCCAGATCTGTCGGCTCCAGACCCTACAGAAAGGCCTACTTGAAGGGTTTAGAGAAGTAGTGCTCCCATGCATAAAACTAAATCTCAAAATTCTTAGTGATCTTAAAGAAGTTATTATATTCTTTGAATAATAAACTTCATTAAATTATAATAATAATTTAGTTTATATAAATATATATAAATAAGTAGGTTTTAAAAAATNTCGATTGTATCCCTAGAAATAAATATAAAAATTATAAATTTAAAATGTGATTGTAGTTTTAGTATTTACTATAAAAGATAGGAGAAACTTACATCAATGTAACTGGCATTGATATAATTTGATGAACTGACATCTGGTATGCTTTGCAATATCACTCGATTATTGTCATCTAAAAAATTCATCATATTTAGTGAAAATCAAAAAAAGGAATGAATAAATATTCTTTTGAAATAGCTGCCTGATAGTAAAAGTTTGTCATCCTAAGTCTTATTTTATGGAAGGAACAGTTTTTTTGTTTTGTTTTTTAAAATCATTTTGTTCATTAGTAGGAACATTCATATTGCTGTTTTTGAACACCAAATAAATTTTCAAAAAGTCAAGACTATCTCCAAGGAGACTTTGAATTTCATGTTCAGAGAATAATAAGTTATCTCTTTGCTGTAACTGTGATGTTCGAAAATACAATAAAAATTCAAAAATTAATATTAAAAGCTGACATTCTTTTTAGAAATCTATTCTACATACTGAAGCACTGAAGATGGCATTGAAATGGTTGAAAATGTTTTGAAGTTGGAATAAAATAGCTGAAGTTAAAGGCTAGTGTTATATATTTACTCTGTTCCTTCAACTAGAAACATTAAAAATAAACTATAATTTAAAAATCTGTATAATCTGTTTAAAACCAAATTATTATATATTCTTACATTTACAGTAAATTAACTATTATTCTAAATTGACAACAAAAAATATAAAATTAAGTTAATGGCTTTACTTACAAGGTAACAAATTTCCAAATCTGTTTTTTGAAATATTTTCTGGCTTTTTAGCTATTGACCATTGTGAACATTGTCCTTTTGGTAGTTTCTAAGTAATATAATTTAAATAAAATTACTATAATAAAAATATATATAAAATAATGTGTTTAGTATGAAGCAAGGGTGGAATCTTTATGAAGCCTTGTTAAAACCAAAAAATGTGCATTTATTTTTTTGATAGACCTAAATGTATCTATCTATCCTGTTTGAATAATCTTATCACATATACCAGGTATGGCCAAACTTTTATCCCTTAGGGGCTACTTTTTTGGTAAAATATAGTCTGTGGGCGACTATGAATATGGGCAAACAATTTTAGGATATTTATATGCTTATGCGTTAACATTCATTTGCATTGTTCATCGGGATAAATACAAACAGTATGCGCATGTTGCACAGACAGTCTATTATTGAGAATAAATTATCGAATTAAGATTTTTAAACATTAATTTACGTGAAAGCAAATTGTTCAACTTTAGTTTCGCGGGCTACTTTCAAAACCTTTGCGGTCGACTGGTTGACCGCGGTATACGTGTTGGCCATCCCTGACATATACTCTAACTTTGTCTTTATCTGATATATCTTTATTAGAATATAAAAATCAGTTAGTGTAGGTATTCTTTTGACTATTAAACTACTATTTTTGTATATTAAAAAGCTTCTTGTCTGTTTTATTAATTTTACAAAATAACAGTTAATTAGAACCAATGACTCAGACTTATTATACTCACAGTGAATTTAATTAACTCTTTATTTATCTAATTGGGTTGTATGGTCCTTTTCAATTGGATTTTACAAACAATAAAAAATTATAACCTGCCCTATACAGAAAGGATGAGGTGGGGGTAGAAGAAAGAAAACAATTTTAATCAAAATGATGATACAAGGACTATTTTCCAAGTTTTCTGTCCTGTTTGAATTGTAATGATTGAGTGGTCTGCCTATATAGTATAATTGTTCTTTAATCCTACTTGTGAACTATAACAAGATAATTTAAGTAACTTATCTATATATTATATTTGTAATTCTAAACTAAATTATTGTACACCTAAAGTTTAACTGTAGTATAATGTCTGCTCTTTGGGATTGCCATTATTGTTTTAAATTGAATGCAATTGAAAAGGACCAGACAAGCCAAAATGCATATTTGACAAATAAAAACTTTAAAATGTTATTTCAGCTATCTAACAGTGCTTTTTTGCCAGATTAATCACAACAATTAAAAAACTAAAAACAATAAAAAAAAATTGTTATAATATACAGAAGTCATGATAAGTTTGGCAAAAAAAAGCACTATTAGATAACTGAAATATTTTTAGTACAAGTCCAAACAAGAAGCTAAATGAAGAAATAAAGAATTAATTAAATTCACTTTGATTATAACAAGCCTCATTCATTAGTTCTAGTTAACTACTATTTTGTAATACAGTAGAACCTTGAAAACTCGGCTCTCGATAACCCGGCACTCCAGATAACTCGGCCACACCCTGGCAGGGCAAAAAAATCCTTAGTTAATAATTTTCATTATAGACAGCTTTATAAAAGTATAAAAGCTCTCATAAAGTATTTTTCTGAGGTCTGTCTTATCAGGTAAATTACTGTACACAGTGTATTCATTAATTTTCATTTTCATCTTCATTCCTTTATGAAGGCTCTATGCCTTCATAAAGGACGTACTTTTCCTTTGTTTAAGGGTATTTCAGCAGTTTATTCTCTGCTGTATTCTCAAGTAAACAATACATACAAGTACAGTACAGTATTTTCTGAGGAAACACTCGTACTTATTTTTTTTAACCTCATTCCCGATAACCCGGCATTTTCACAAACTCGGCCACCCTTCGGTCCACATTAGGCCGAGTTTTCGAGGTTCTACTGTACCATATTTTCATGGAACGACCATCATGCTGGTTAAACTGCAACTAAAATATAAAATTAATCAGATCTAATAAAACTAGTTGTTAAATAAATATTAAAGAAAACATTCTTTGGAGTATAATAAATGAACATTGTAATTTGACTGACTTAAAATCAGGAAGAGTTTTTATTTACAAGACAATAAAACATATAACACCTGCCTCTCAAATTTCACATAAAGCAGATGTTAATTGGTTGTAAGTTAAGATAATTTACAGTGAGTTTCTGGAATTTAATATGTTTATTGTAGACCTGTAATGTGGCCGAAGCACACAGAATATAGAGGGGTAAGAGATGTAGGGCCTTACAAACAATAATTAACACGAAGAGATTGGAAATTAACAGTTTTATAGTACAAAAAAAAATCGACATACAATTCTCGACAGTACCAGGTAACTCCTTATAACCAGTTGGAACACGCGCAGACTGAGATTACTTAAACTAATAATCCTAATAATGAAAAAAAAAAAAAAAAAAACAATTCACGCAATTAATTACAATTGTTACACTGATAGAACATATGCTGATTAATTGCTGAATGACTTCTGCTTTCGCACCTAACAAGGAAATATTCATATCGAGGTGTTACTCACTTGTACCACTAATCAATAACAGTTCAGCTGTATGTTCAATCTATGTCCTCATAAATAACTAAATGCTTACTGGAAATATTAAATAAAAATAAACAAACACCTTTCTCTATTCCAGCACACTTTTAATGCATTGAAAAACGTTTTTGATCGTTTTACTCGATCATCGATCAAAAACGTTTTTCAATGCATTAAAAGTGTGCTGGAATAGAGAAAGGTGTTTGTTTATTTCTATGTCCTCATGTTGATGGAAAAGGATTCCTTTTTTCTTATTTTGTTACGTCCATTCGAAACCCTTGGCAAAAACCCTTGTAGGATTTTTCTTGTTCTTACCTCACTTCTTCCTTCTCCTTCGTAGAGCTCGAAAGCCTCCTCAGGTCTAGAGCGGCAAATCTCAGAACAAAAAAAAAGGTCCATGTGTATGGCGCTCCTCCCATTTATACCATGCGCCCTCCACATCATGTGAGCTATACGTAGGCCAATAACAGACCAATCACCAACCAACACAAAAACCTTACACGTACCTCAACAAATACAATTAAAAAAAAACCAGTGCGCGACAAACGGAAATAATTACAATCACTAGGTAACGTAACAATCGAGATAAGTCCTAGTACGAGATTAAAGAAAAAAAAAAAAAAACAAAAGATTAGTGGCAAAGCACTATATTATTTTTGCTGGCATGGTTAAACCAGCATGCTGATCATTCCAAGAAAATATGATATTTTTGTCTTTAATAATGGGATTTAAAACTAAAGCTAATTCCCTATCTAAAAGTACACTACATTTGTTTAAACTTCTATTATAATTAATTTAGGAAAACTTTTATATAAATGAATTCTTTGTGGTGTTTTTACCAAATCTGAGATAACTTTCTTTAAGAAGGTTGCTGCAGATCCCATGCATCTCTGGTTGCTGCAGATCCCATGATCTGCAGCAACCAGAGATTGGCCTTTGTCTCACATCTTTTTGATGTTAGTCAATAGAACTAAAATTTCTGTTAATTATTGTCATATTTACTTACTCTGAAGTTATCAGTCAATTATTATTACCAATATAGACAAGTTTCAAAATGATTAATTAAGCAGATTCTAATGTATTTTTATAAATAACATAATTTAATAATTTGAATTTATTTTTAGTTCAAATGATTAAAATATTTATAAGATTATAGTACTATATAAGCAGTGCCGGCCCGAGGCAAGTTTTAGGATGGAGCGCGATCCCATTATGGCGCCCCCTTGGTTGCCCTTAATTTATACCCTTTTATTTTCTCTACCACTGAGGCGCACCCTAGGACTTAGCGCCTGGAGCGGCTGCTCCGTTCGCCCTATGGTAGGGCCGGCTCTGTATATAAGTCTAGACTAAATTATGTAACAAAATAATTAATTTTTAGCTATAAATCAAGAAAAATTCAATACTATATTTTTGTTTGAATTATACCATTCAATAGTTTTTAAAATTTAAGCTCTCTCTCTCTCTCTTTTACTCTTAATTTTTAATGCACTTTACTGAAAAACTATTAGATTTTATAACAAAATTTAACAGTATTTTAAAAAGATTTTACCTGAAACTCTTCTGCAAAATTCTTTGATGGATGAATATTTTTGTTATAAATGTAATCAGCTAAATCATCAACATTAAAATCTTCTGAATAGTTTTCTTTTTTTATTTTCTTTGTTTTTAAAAGAGATCCTTTAAATGCACAAAATAAACAAAATATGATTGTGAGAATTAAATATTTTAAATTTCTTAACAAAAATCTAAATACCTTTGACCATATGTATGGAAGGAGTTTTTTCAAAATTTAAATTAGGACTGTCAGTTGTTTCATAATCAGAAACTTTATATGCTACTGACCATGTGGCAGCATCCGAAACAAGTGGATCATGAATTGCAAAACAATTCTTCTTTTTATTTTTATTTTGACTATCAAAAGTAAATAAATAAGTCATACTGTTATTGTTTTAAATTTATACTTGTATTGAAATATTATTTCATGTAAAACAGTCAAATCAAATTTGAATGGAAAAAAGAACAACAAAAACAAAGAAGTCAATGAAGAATGGAATGACTTAATTTATCAATATTGTGTTAAAAAGCTCAGTTGATTAACAATTAGTATTTTGGAAGGAAATTATATCAGAGAAGATTGATTCAAATAATGCTTATTACAGTAGAGCGTCGTTTATCCGAAAGCTGGTTATCCGAAACGTCTGTTATCTGAAAGCATTCCAGTCGGCAAATTTAAATTTTCGCTAGTGCTGTGGCGCTGCAATCTTCGGCTATTTCTCGGGCTACTCAAATATTTTACGTTTTTGATACTAAATTAACATCTGAAGTATAATTTTTTATTGTTTTTATATTTTTCAATATATTTATTTTGTTTGTACAAAATAAAAAAATAATTTTTAACGATACAATAGTCTTCGTTAGGCTTAACATCAATGAAAATTCAACGCGAAGCGACACACAATGGAGAGAAATTTCAACATGGGATAAATTAATATATTTTTTCATACATGATTCGTTATCCGAACCACCCCAGTCCCCAATTGATTCGGATAAACGACGCTCTACTGTAATAATATATGCACACATTTAAATTTAAGAAAATAATATAAAAAAATTGCATTGTGATAAATAGCATTCATATTTACATAAAATATTCTATGATATTTTATATTATAAATATATAAATGTTTCATAATAGAAAAGTATCTCTTAATAAAAAAAAATATGAATAAATAAAGTAATCATTTCACTTATTCTTCAGATTTGAATACAACCAGCATGGAGTTGTGGTTAATAAATTAATTAAGAACTTATTAATTCTAAGACATGAAATCATCTCTATTCTGAGTTATTAATTAAAATATATTGATATATTGAAAATTTTCATCTGAAGAAAGCTAACATAAATGTTTCACTATAAAGTTTGCCTTATTCATTAATATATTAATATTAATTATTGTTGTTATACCATAATAATAATAAAATTTATATAAAGCAACAATAAAAAAAATGAAATTCAATCCACTCTGAACCAAAATAATTTCACAGATAAAATATTCTAGATGAAAAATTTATTATAATTAATTAATTAGAAGTAAACTTACCAATATTTATGAACTTTTAATCCAACAATAAAAATAACAACTATGAGCAGAACTAACATTCCAAGGATTATGAAGATAAAATGTAAAAAGGGTAATCCAAATAGGAACTTTTCAAATTTCTCATCACTTTGATAACTAACTTTAATTTATATAAAATAATATTCAAATTAATTTTTTAAATATCATGTACATTTAGATCATATAAAAAATTTAAAACTTGGTAATTATTTGCATAATATAAAATAAAATTTTTACCAATAACATGCTGTTTTGCTTCAGAGATAGATGACTGCATCTTCTAATAGTATAAAAAAAAATTTATTGTTTAAAAAGAATTACTTGAATTAAATAAACATAAAAATAAACTCACAGCACTAATTATTCTAATTCGAATATTATACAACACTCCTGGAGATAAACGAACATTTTTATATTTTCCATACATCTTTTGATCTCCTACTACAAAATAGTGATAATCTTCTTTTGGAAGATCCTTAGCATTTAATTCAGCAGTAATGTAATATGGTATTTTAGCAAGTGTGGCACTGTAATAGTCTAATAAGTGTTGTTTATTGATTCCTTCCTTATTTCTACCATCTTCCACAATTATTTGATATTTTCTGGAAATTATAATATTTGGCCATCTATTGGTAACTAATTACATAAATGAAATATTCAAAATGAAAATACTCAAAATTACATAAATAATTCTGAAAATGTGACAGCTAAATATAGATAAATTGATAATTAAACAAGCATTCAAGTTTCTTGGAAGCTAAAATATATGTACAGAAACTATTCCAAACTAAGCACTGTGGTGAAACTTACACTACACTATCCGGAACCTGTAACCTGTGCGTAATGCATATATACTATATATCGCTGTTGACAAACATTTTCAAGCGATCTCTTTGCTCTTCTTCAGGCCGACTGGAATTCCCTGAATGGAGTGTATTCTATTTGTTGGGATCGGGTGTCAATTCTGACAGGGTGGGTCTTTTCTGACATGTACAGTTGCACAATGGGGGAGGTGTACGGCACCGTTACAGGTTCTTGATAGTGTAGTGTAAAATATATGTTTTATTAAATAAAAATTTAATTAAATTTCTTTTTTATTTAATTAAATAAAATAAATTAAATGAAGGATTAAAGCTAACCTTTCATTTAATTAAAAAAAAAGAGATATTTTCTAGCTTTTTGAAAAGTTGAGTGTTTGTTTTACTAATCAATAAATTACAAACTAGTTTTATTTGAATAATAGCCACAGCTACTATTTTAAACTGCATATTTTCTCTGCAGTTACTATTCAAGGATAGTTATTTTCTTTGCACATAACACATTTCATGTCCATTACTAATAAAGTATTTTAAAATATTTATTTATGAAAGTTTAATTTTTAAAACAAATTATACTTGAAATGGCAACTGATATTTTTCTTTATAATGAATGTTAGCTTTTATACATCAGTAAGAAAATAATTAATAAATATACCTATTGTATATTTCACATATTATCAGCCTAGTTCACAAACCTCATATTTCCAAATTTCCATGTTTGCAATTATTGTACCAGCACAATCAAAATGGTAAGATACATCTTCTGTATGGTTACAGTCTTATGTTTTTGGTGCAATTTCTTTTTAGAAAGGTAAAAATTTATTACCACAAATGCATTATTTCTCTCAAAAACCAGTTTTGATGTCTCCTGTAAAGTAGATATTTTGGAAATACAAAGTTTGTGAACTAGGCTAATGATATTTCATATTCTATTAAAGTTTGTTTGTTAAATAAATACAATATCTACCTAATGTAGTTTGCTGTATTTATTAATTTTACATTATTTCTGAAAAGTTTTCAGAAATTCTTAAATTGCAACTGTGGCTACTATTTGAGGATGGTTATTATTCAAATAAAACTGGTAAATATATATTAATCCTAATCTGTTAGAAATTTTAAACTTGATGATAGCAAGATAACTATCATTTTGTTTATAATGTCATTTCCTAATAATGTTTCTTTCCCAGAAATATGAGATTCTAAAACCCCAACTATTTTTATAGATTTGAAAATCCCAGTTATTAAATAAATATTCTAGGAAATCTTGAAATTTTACATTACACTTTGTTATTATAGCTATTAATCTTTGGTCATGTTTGGTATTATTATTCTTTTATGAGTAGGATTGGATTTTCTTTCATAGCAATGCCAGATCTGTCGGCTCCAGACCCTACAGAAAGGCCTACTTGAAGGGTTTAGAGAAGTAGTGCTCCCATGCATAAAACTAAATCTCAAAATTCTTAGTGATCTTAAAGAAGTTATTATATTCTTTGAATAATAAACTTCATTAAATTATAATAATAATTTAGTTTATATAAATATATATAAATAAGTAGGTTTTAAAAAATTTTTAATTACTTGAATAAATTTATTTTAATTAACAGAAATTAAAAATATACATTACATTATTCTTGAGTGTCCAGATGAAAATTTAATTATAATAGAATCACTTAGTGTTCTGTTATCCACTATTTCTACAACTGAAGATTCTAAATTTAAAATAAATAAAACACATTACTTTAAATCTGAAATACAAAATAATCAATTGAATCAGTAATTGGAAGAAGGGAATAAGACCAACAAGCAAGTTTTTGAGAAAATCAAAAAAAGTGGGAAAAAAAAGATGTCTGGCTCCTAGAAACTATTCCCAATTATAATGAAAATATAACTATTATTAGAAGGCATTAATACCATTATGTATCCTAGATATTGGGTAAATTAGATAATACAGTAAAGCATTGATTATCCTAATACCGATCAACTGAAACACCGGTTAACCAAAAGTGTTTCGGTCTGCAAATTCAAATTTCTGCTAGTGCTGTGGCACTGCAGCACCTAGCCTGCTCCCCTCCCTGCCAACCTAAACTGTAGGCCTACTTTAATGTACTACTTTATATAAGATATGTATTTGCAAGATGTGTGATACAAAATATATACAGTACCGTTTTGTGTTTAATATATATTTTCGTAAATAATCAGTTATCCGAAGTACACGAGTCCCGAATTGTTTTGGATAATCAATGCTCTACCGTAGCTGCTTTAGTCTGTCTCAAAAGTGCTTGGATTTAGTCTCTTATTCCAACCATTGCATTTAAAACCAAATAAACTCAACAATATTCTTAGAGTTTTAAATTTAAGAGAAAAAAAAAATATTGGCAATTATCAAAACGACTAAATTTGATAAATCGCATTATGAATGTAATTATTATCTTAAAAACGTATAGAACTTTTGAAAGATAAAAAGCTTTATTGATTTATACAAATATTAGTAAATTTCTTTCATTATTTTCTTCTTTTCTTTTCTCCATTAATCTGTCTTATTTTAATCTTTCAATTCTTAATGAGAGTCATTTTCAGATTCATCTTCAACATTTCTAGATTTCACATATCTGTGATTCCCAAGTTTTCTTCTCATATCTACAGGGAACTTTCCTTGAATCAGTAAAGAAGTCAGTCTACATGTACTGTAGCTTACTTGAAACAGCATACGAGCTACAGAAAGCCATTCTAAATACCAATAAGTCTTGTGACCCTTGAAGTACATGATATTTTAAAGTTGCAGCTCTTGTGTTATCAGTATCTGCCTTTTTTGGATGTCTTTTATGATTAGTTGAGCTTCTATAAAACCAAATAAAGATGCTTCTTGTTTGTTTTTCATCTGCCTGTTGTAAAATCTACTTACTATATCTATTTTGTCATCCTCTGAAGTTTTAGAAACATGTTTTTTGACAACCACAGTCTGTACCTGTTTTTTTTAGCTGGCACATTTTTTCCCTTTGTTGAAACATACACTTGTCCTGAACAATGTGCCATCTTAATTTGTTCTTTCTGATATGAATCAGTATTTCAGACACCATTTCTCTTCCTTTTTTTAGATAATTCCTTAAGTTCACAAACAGGGAAATCAGCACTCATACTTCAAGGAAGAGATTATTAACATTTAAGAGTAAAAATTAAGTATCAGCATATTTAAAATAAAAATTAATCATGAAGATTTTCCTTAAACCTCATCAACATGTAGATTTTTGTAGAAATGGTGGTAATTGTTTTATTGTCATTTTAAAAGTTTCATTTGCTGGTATGCTGCTGTAATTAATTGGAACACAAAAATAAGTCTAAGACTAATAAATTTTTTCCACTCAGCATAAACTTTGGCATGCTTTTTTAAAATTGATAATGGATGATCTTTTTTTCTAACCAAATTATAGATATTGTGATGGAGAATATTTCTGTAGTAAAAAGTAAGTATCATTAAAAGTGAACTTATTTCCTTCTTCAAATCACCAATTCAATTCTTTAAAAATTAAGGAAATATTTTGTTTTTGGTTTATTTTATGAGTTTAAAATCTGTTATTTTTAGAATAAATTTTTACTAAAAGTTGTCCTTTTTCTGATTTTAAAATCTATGATTAATTCATTATCTTATTCATATTTTAAAGGATAATTATGTATTCCTGTATAACAAAACATCCAGAAAATAAAAAATAATTTTGATTGTGACAGCTATCTCCCTGAGCTATTTGGAAATGTAATACATAAATATATATTTGATAAACATTTCAGAGCAATTAAAGTTACTTGAATTTGTTAACTTCAATGCAATATTAAAATTTTAATAATTTATTAATTATTTATGGATTAATTACATATAAATCAAGCCCAACATTTAGAGATGTACACTTCTTCCCCCCTTCGTAGAAGTCAAGTTACAAAGTTTAATTATACAACCCTCTCTCTCATGTCATCCCTCTTTTAACATGTGGACAGCAATCACCTATTCCTAGTAACATTACAGTTTTAAATGTTTGTTTTAACATGAAAGGTCAGTTAGTCTGACTATGTCCATTAAACACATTTGAAAACATTTGCTTTCTTGTACTTTCTTCTTGATGAATATTGGTTATACGTGCAGTGTTTATTAATGTATTCCTAGTTTTGAGTAGTTGAATTTATTTTACATTTATGGAATTTGTTTTAATTTCTTTAAATATAAAATAGTAAATTAAAGGTAATAATGGAAATACAAATGTTAAGCTTGTTTTACTGTAGTTTGAACCATATATATTTAATTCTGAAATTATAACTCCATGCAATAGCTTTTGAAATTAAAAATAAATATCTACATTTATGTTATTAAACTTTTGAATTGACTATATTTACTTTTAAACAGAATAAATCAGTTTTTGTATAGTATATCTTAATACCTGCAGTTGCTGTCCAGAAACTAACACTGATAGGTTTTCCAAAACCAATTCTTGTTAAAGCTCTCACTGTTATATTATATTCTGTACTTGGCTGTAAATTTTCAAAAGTCACTTGAAATGTTGAACTATTTAAGATCTTTGTTATTGAATCCATTTTCTGTAAACTGAATCCCATGAAAGATGGTTGACAAGATACCTAGAAAACAATTTTATAATTTTCATATATACAGTATTAGAAAATTTTAGAGTAATTCTGTATTAATCCTTATTCCATATAAAAATTATTTTTTGAATCTCTATACAATAGTCAGATAAATTGAAAGAAATCATCTAAACAAAAAAATGTTTGATTCATTAATTGTGAATATATGCAATAAAAATACATTTATATANCAGTATTTTAAAAAGATTTTACCTGAAACTCTTCTGCAAAATTCTTTGATGGATGAATATTTTTGTTATAAATGTAATCAGCTAAATCATCAACATTAAAATCTTCTGAATAGTTTTCTTTTTTTATTTTCTTTGTTTTTAAAAGAGATCCTTTAAATGCACAAAATAAACAAAATATGATTGTGAGAATTAAATATTTTAAATTTCTTAACAAAAATCTAAATACCTTTGACCATATGTATGGAAGGAGTTTTTTCAAAATTTAAATTAGGACTGTCAGTTGTTTCATAATCAGAAACTTTATATGCTACTGACCATGTGGCAGCATCCGAAACAAGTGGATCATGAATTGCAAAACAATTCTTCTTTTTATTTTTATTTTGACTATCAAAAGTAAATAAATAAGTCATACTGTTATTGTTTTAAATTTATACTTGTATTGAAATATTATTTCATGTAAAACAGTCAAATCAAATTTGAATGGAAAAAAGAACAACAAAAACAAAGAAGTCAATGAAGAATGGAATGACTTAATTTATCAATATTGTGTTAAAAAGCTCAGTTGATTAACAATTAGTATTTTGGAAGGAAATTATATCAGAGAAGATTGATTCAAATAATGCTTATTACAGTAGAGCGTCGTTTATCCGAAAGCTGGTTATCCGAAACGTCTGTTATCTGAAAGCATTCTAGTCGGCAAACTTAAATTTTCGCTAGTGCTGTGGCGCTGCAATCTTCGGCTATTTCCTGGGCTACTCAAATATTTTACGTTTTTGATACTAAATTAACATCTGAAGTATAATTTTTTATTGTTTTTATATTTTTCAATAAATTTATTTTGTTTGTACAAAATAAAAAAATAATTTTTAACGATACAATAGTCTTCGTTAGGCTTAACATCGACGAAAATTCAACGCGAAGCGACACGCAACGGAGAGAAATTTCAACATGGGATAAATTAATATATTTTTTCGTACATGATTCGTT